AAATCGTCTCAAGGAACAGGTTACTTGCCGTATACTATAAAGTTTGTTGACAGACACAAACTAAGTGAGTCTGAAGAAAAGACGAAAGAGTATGATCGACTCGCGTTTCGATATTTATCACGAGTAGCATATCCTTTACTCTTTTGCTACGCAATTTACAGTCTTCTATACAATTCGCACAAAAGTTGGTATTCATTTATTCTGACCACTCTTGTTGGATTTGTGTATGCCTTCGGATTCATAATGATGACGCCACAATTATTTATCAACTATAAACTTAAGAGTGTAAGAATACGTCATTTTCACAATATTCTCTTTTAATATTCACTTTTAATCTTGCTTATTCGATATTTTTTTCAGGTTGCACATATGCCTTGGAAAACCTTGATGTACAAAACGCTTAGTACATTTGTAGATGACCTTTTTGCTTTTTGCATAAAAATGCCAACGTTACATCGTTTAGCTTGTTTAAGAGATGATGTGATATTCTTTGTATATCTTTATCAAAGATGGATTTACCCTACGGACAATAAAAGAGCAAATGAATATGGACAGGTGGATGAGTCAAATGAAAATGAAAAAGATGAGCAAATGGAGAGTAAAAAAGATAGGTAGTTTATACAAACTTATGTAGATATGTTTTTAGATTACATATAACATGTAGGTATTATTCGATCATATATAGTGTGATGTTATTTGAACGCTGTCTAATGTAAGAATAATAGTAATTGTACTAATATTAATTATTTACATTTAATAATAAATAAAAATAAATATCTTAAAATTTTAATGATCATATCAAAACAGGACAATACAAATCTTTACATGCTTTTTTTTTTTTTTTGAAAAAATTTTTTACTTTCAATTTATCAATTCCAAATACATTACACCTTTAAGAAAAAAAACCAAAAAAAAAAACCAATCATAAAATTAAATACATTTCATCATCTTCAAACATTGCATCACTCAACTTTTTGGTATTCAATAAAGCTTGTGTAGAAGTTGAAGTGGTAGTTGTATGATTAGGGATGGTATTCTTCAATGTTGAAATTGATCGAGATGAAATTGTTGTAACATTTGGTGAATCAATTTCAGTTATTGTGCATTCTGCACATTTACAGCATACACAATGATAGTCTATCGAGTTTAAAAAAAATTTCTATGAAAAACATTAACAATGAAAAAAAAAACTTTGAATAACTGATAAAATCATTCACCTTCGACTTTATCAACTTCTAATTAAAAAAAGCCAAATCATGATAAGAATTCCTAAAACGATGATAATGATAAGTTAGAGTATTAAACATTCAAAACCTACCGTCCAAATCCGCTTTACCATCCGAATTCTTTATATATACCCATCCATCGATTTCTTCAGGCCAATCTATATTTGATTTCTGTTGAGAAATAATTTGAGATTGATTCACGAGAGAATTTTTACTTTGTTTAATATGACAAGATCGATTCGTAGTTGAAGTACTATTTTGTGGATTATCATTATGCTGAACAGGATAAGATTGAGTAGTAAGTGAGTTATGATCTTGTTGAATAGGATTATAATCATATTGATTTGTTTGCTGAATAAATGAACAATGTTGACTCTTGGATAGGTTTGTTTGTATATTGTTATTATTGTCACTATTACTATTATTGTTATTATTTATATTATTTTGTTTAGTAAATGAATGTGATCTTTGTTGAAGGTCATGATTTTTTTGGACATGAGAAAATGGCATAATTTGTGAATATGTTGTTTTCATTTTTGAACTGGACGTATACTTGAGAGGTGATGACGATAGTAACCTAGGAGTAGTTGTCGAATTTGTTTCATTTGCGATTTCCGTAAATTTTTTCAGTGCATTTTTGTAATATTTTTCGTAATTTGCATCTTTTGACATTTTTGATGTTCAATGAGAAAGAAAAAGCTAAACATTATAAATGAATTTAAATGAAATAATTTTTTTACTTGAGAAAAGTTTAATTTGATGTCATAAAAACAAGTTTGAACTATTAACTACTAATCATGATTGATTACTGATTTTTTATACAGTACGATCCAAAGTTCACTCGATAATTATATAGAATTATTGAAAAAACAAACTAGTATCTCTGTAAACTCAAAGCATAGATAGAACTCAAGGTATAAAATTACCAGCCGGTTTTCTTAATTACAATTTATTTCATGTTTTTCTATTAATAGTGTTTAAGGATACTAAAAAAACTACCGAAATTCGCTATCGAATCGGTTTAACTGTTAAGCTGAGCTTTTTTAACTCAACTTCAGACTAGTTTCCTACAGTAAGATATTAGTTTAATAAATTTTTAAATTTTAAAAAGAAAAAAAACAAAACAAAATCCAAGAACATGTATATATGTTACAATTTGTCTGGTTTAAGTTTAATTTATTTTCTAAATAACAAGTTTTTAAAGTAAAATAAGCATAGCTTTAATAAATTTATATTAAAAAAAAAAAAATATTCAAAACTTAGACAAGTTATTTATACTGTAAAATCAAGAAAAAAAATATAAAAAAAAAAACTAAAAAAAAAAATACAACAAAAGATTTTAGCATTAACAATATATAAATTTACAAAACTATATTATTTTAACAAAATTATAATAATTACTATTATAGAAAAAAAATTAATAAGAGGAGTAACAAAAATCAGGTGATTTCTTAGAGTAAAAAAAGTTAAAATTATATATGAAAACCTAATTAAATATATAATAAGAAGAGAGGAAGGAAGAGTATACCTCTGATAAAAAAAAATCAGGTAATAAATAACACTACCCTAAGCATATACTATTAGTCACAGAACATGTTTATCATATTAAACTACTACTAGCAGTTAGAGAACATATGAGCTAGGTGCTGCAAAAAGAGATAAAATTGAAAATTTTTAAAAATTTTTTTTTTTGAGTTTAATTTATTCAAAATCAACTTGGAGATATTTTTTACTTAAAAAAATAATGCTATTATCTATAGATACAGACTTTTTTTTTCGGTATTAAGGTGATCCCTTTGGCCATGAAGACTCTTTATTAGTAATCATTTGCTATTATAGTTACAATGAAGATACAACTAGCCACACGTGCACCTTTTGAGTGCCTATTTAAGTAGTCCACCGCAGGTTCTACACTAGATGCCGTACTTATAACCCAACTAGGGAGTTACCCATTTAAACCTTCTGATCCTAACCATTTTTAGTATATTATACTAACCCGGGAACTACCATCTAGCCCGTTCCACTAGATTATGTACCCTGCCTTAGGACTTCCGTGACTATCCTGGGTTTGCACCAACTAATTACCGGCTTGCATTCCTCTATTAAGCAGATGCACAGCTATCCTCGAGGTAAACCTACCAGAGCCTTCCATATCCTATATCCAGCTGACCCAGTCATCACAGTTGCCAAGACTCCCACTCACAGTTTGGTATAACCTAATTAAACCACTATGCCCTTGTAAGATTCACTTCAACCCAGTACTCATATTTGGGTCTTCCTTTTTCTGTAATTACCTTATTGGTCCCTCCCTTACTCCCAACCTGTGACCCAGAAGATTCGATCCTGGCTAGGCTTTAAGTGCCTTATGCCCCATCTCATCATAGTACATGATTTTATAGCACATGTCCTTTTCCTCCAATTAGGTCTGGCTAGTCTCCAGGGATCGCCCAGCCCTTGTCGTTAGGTAGAACCTAACTCCCAAATCCTAGTCATGGTGGATGGCCACCCCGGTTTCCCATGCCGGCTAACTAGGTTGATGTGCTACCCTTCTCTCCAATTGGTAGTCAGATTGGTGGATCCCCCCACTTAAGGATCTTGTTGTCGTTCGGTTCTCCAATCTCGGCTATTACTTCTAAATTTAGCC